TTATTTTAACTATTTAAAATCTAGTTATGCTAAATATTTTGTTATTTAAAATATTTAGTTATTTAAATACTTAAATAATATGTAAAATATTTAAATTGTAAAATATTAACTATTTATTGAATTTAATTATCCATAAAATCATAATTCATACTATTATTACATAATTTCCTTATTAACTTTTTATTAATATTTTATATTTTAAATATAATTATTAATATGAAAAAGTGAAAGTTTTCCCATATTTCTTAGTCAAATGTTTTATTTCATAAATCTAATTTTTAAATTTATATTTTAATAATTGCACTATAATTTTTAAGTTTAAATCTTTGGAACCGACTAACCTTTTGTGAAAACCAACCCAAACCGATACAACTTGAGTGGGTCAGTTTTCACAAAAAGTCAGTCGGTTTCAACTGACCAACTCCCCAATTAGACCAGGTCAATTTGGGTGGCTAAATAGCCTACGGCCGGACTGAACGAACTCATGAATACTCATAATTTTAGCTAAATTAATTGTCTTATCTCCGATAAATAACAATAGTTTAATCTCCAATAATTATTGAAAATTTATAGCGAAAATGCACAATTATTGAAAATAAATAAAATAATTTATAACAAAAATACAATAAATAAAATAAGTAAAATTAAATTTAAAAAAATCAATAATAGTAGTTTAATCTCCAATAATTATTGAAATTTTCTGTTAAATAACAAAACAAAATAAATTTATACATAATCATTGAAAATACATCTATCACAAAAATAATAAAATTACTGAAATACAATAAATATTAATTTTAATATATATAATTATATAATAAATACAGATTAAGAGTTTAAAATTATAATTAATAAATATTAATTTTCTTGAAAGTTATCTTCTTGAATTATTACTTGATATAAGTGAAATTAGTTATTTACAATATTATGTTATAATTATTTTTCAACTTTTCATATATATTTTTTTTAATTTTATTACATAACTTCTTTATTTTAACTATTTAAAATCTAGTTATGTTAAATATTTTTGTATTTAAAATATTTAGTTACTTAAATACTTAAATAATATATAAAATATTTAAATTTTAAAATATTAATTATTTATTGAATTTATTGAACCGATTGCCTAAACGGTTCCCGGGTCAAACGATCCAACCATCTGAATCAACGGCGATTCAAAAACCATTGTTTGAACTCTATTTCAAGCAATCCCCAAGCAGCTGATGACTGATTTGGTTCCTACTTCCTAGGTTGTCGCCTCCGCCTCTAGGCTTCATGAAAGTGAATGTTGATGGTGCCAACCTCAAACTCTAAGGCTGGAATTGGGATCACTCTCCGCGACTATTGGGGTCAGTTCATCTTCGCCAAAGCAGCTCTAGTGGAGGCGTCAGCTTTCTTGATTGGTCTCCAATTTGCCCTTGAATTGGGGATCTCCCACTTACAAATTGAGGACAAGCCCCACAAGATTGCCCCCTACAACGTCTCACAGCACAGTCCCGCCGTGTATTGGAAACATCTCCCGATGATGACATCATCATTTTTGGGATTATCATCGGGAGATGTTTCCAATACACGGCGGGGATGTGCTGTGGGACGTTGTGGGGGCTGATTTGGTCTCGGTGTATTCACATCACCATCCAAGATTGCAGAGGCTTCTTAGCAAAACATGCTCTATCTCTTACTATTCTCACGACTTGGTCCTCTAGCCCAACTTTTTAGAGCCTTTTATTTTCCCTGTTATGTATGACTAAAAATAAGGATCTGTTTGGTTTGCGGGAATTGGAATCAAAATTCTTCGGAATCAGAATGGCCTATTTCCACAGTCTGGTTGGTTTAAACAGGAAGGGGACAGTAATGAGATTTCATTCCCAAGGGAGGGGTAAGGAATGGCCATTTATTCAAATGGGGTAATGTCATTCCAGCAGGAATGAGAATGGAAATAGGATTCCGATTCTGCCCAACCGAACAGCTAGAATCGAAATAGCCCATTCCGATTCCGATTCCAGACCCCTATAACTACAAAGCAGACGGGACCTAAGTTTTTTCTCATTTAATCCAATTTTGCATTTCAAACAAAAAAAGTTTCAAATTTTAAGTGGGTTCTGCGACACGGGTGTCATACAAGTTATTCTTGTATATTTTGAGTGGGGGCAATTGTAAAAAAAAAAAAAGAAAATAAAATTTCTTCTCAACCACATAAGTTTTTTTTCAAATGACCAAGTGAGGCAACGACTGACTTCTATTTGTATTTTCATGAACTAGAATGCAAATCTACATATTTGTATTTGCACTCTTCCCAAATGGAGCCTTTTTTGTAGAATGTATGAAGAGTGTTGTAATTAGACACACAACCTGCTCAATGGCATTAGGCGTTCCGCTAATCCGGACTCAACTATTATAAACTCAAGATCTCTTGGCTGGGGAGTAGGGACTTGCATGCCTCCGAGCCGCTATGTACCAACGGATTTCTTACAATTCCCTAACACTCCATTTCTAAGGACTATTTTAGTCTCTATGCTGTTTGTCCCCTTTTCCGTGCTTCGTGGAATGCAAAATTATGGCCTTTTAAGTCTTCAACACTTTGTGTCTATATATAACTAGGAATGGTCCCGTGCTAAGTATGGGACCATTAATCTAAATTATTTCAAAATTTTAAATTATTTATATTAGACATTTAGGTTAGGTTTTTTATTTAATTTAAGAGATTTACCATGTTTTATCGACCTATATTAAGGGGCAACTACAGTATATATCATTTAATTTAAAATTTACTATTTAATAATAAAAAAATAAATTAGAAAAATTAATATGGGTCTTACATCTTTGTAATTGACAATCTATTCCGACCTACTTTGTTTCAAAATCACTAGTAATTTATGTTGTTTTTATTATGATTTAAGAGATTAAATGGCTTTATTTGTAAGTAGTAACCCAAATTAATTTGCATTTATTATTTATTTGATACTTTTTTTTAAAAGCTAAATTAGGTTACGCTTCCAAAAAAGTTAAATCTAGTTTACAATTAATAAATTATTTCATCTAAAAGAATGAAACTCACACCATTTGTACTAATTGTTTAGTCATTTTTATGAATTTCATTTATATTTATTTTTACCCATTTAATATTTTGAATATTTTTAAGTTAAATTATTTGTTTGATCGTTACTTTTGAAATGGTTGTGTTTGACTACAATTCAATTACTACCATAACATTTGAAGTGGCCACTTTTTAGGGATTAGGATGCTACGTGTATGGATTTTAAGAGAGTAGAGTTATCACTTTTTTTGTGAGTGGATAGAATTTTTAAGAGTGAGAGTTTAACCTCTTTTAAGATTCTGTATATATATATATATATATATATATATATGTTAAAGCAAAAGAGTACATCATAGGTTCCCCTTGCACAAAATGGAATCTCGAGGTCCCCTCTTTCATATTTGCTACTAAACATCTAACTATTTATGACAGCACCATTATATAAAACAAAAATAATAATGACACAAGTCCTCTCTCTCTCTCTTGGAGCCTAAGTCAAGTCAAGTTCGGGATAATCTATACTAGTCCTGACTCAATAAACTCTTATTGATTTATTTATTTTATAATTTCTCTCTCACTCTCCCTCACCCTCTCTCCTCTCAAGCCCAATATTGAGGGTTGTCAATGGGTCATGTAGGTTTGGGGTTGCCTGTACCAATCTCGTCTAATAGTAAATAAACATTTATTTATTTATTCAACTTATTAAATTATTCAATAAATTAATAATTTACTAATAAATCATACAATCCGCAAGCCTAATATTTAGGATTGTCAATGGGTTAGGTTTGGTTGGGGATAGCTTGTACCAATTTTGTCCTAATAATAAACTATTTATTTATTTATTTTACTAAATTAAATAAATTATTATCCATAAATGTAAAATTTTGTCTATCTCTCACCAACTTATATGTTTTGGGTTACATCAGATTCAGATTTAAATTGAAAAAAAAATTAAATGTATAAAAAATGTCTATAAATATAAATTATTTTCTCTTTCTTTCCAAGTTTGATATTTCGGGTAATCCATCATAGTTCTGATATCAATTCAGATTTTCACAAAAATATTTTCAAATTTATATTTATAAATATTATATAATCTCTCTCTGCTTTCTCTTTGAGTCCAATGTTTGGGGTCATTGAACCTTAGATTAAATTCAAAATTAAATTGCTTTCGGTTTCGAACTTGAAATATAAGCCTAAGACCGAACGAGGCCAAACCTCATTCTATGCATTTGCTTTTCTATATAAAATATGTATCATATTATAAGCGGGGCTTGTGTAGAACCTAATGTTATAAGAGTGAGAGGATAGGGATGACAATTTTTCCCATCCCCACTAGATACCTAACCTCCTCGACCTAATTAGGTCAAGGATGGAAACCACCTTTGAAAAACAGGTACAAGGATTAGGATTAATAGATACCCAATCAGGGATAATGATGGGGATGGGGAGTGAAGTCCCTTCTCGACTCCGATTATATATATATATATTATAATTTTTTAAATATATAAATTTATAAATACTAGTCTAAGAGCACAAGTAAATATCAACCATACATGCACGAGACCAAAGGAAGTAATAATAAAGTAAATATTTCATAATTATATTTATTTATTATGTACATATATTAAAAAGTAATGAACTCTTAATTTTTTTTTATTTCAAAAAGAATGGGATTAAATCCAAATCCGGTCCGAGTCTGATGCGATTCGGATTTTTTAAACCTGATCGGATTTGGATGTCAATTTTCACTAACCGGATCGGGCCCTTACTGTGCGCAGTGGTTACATAACCAATCATGAGTGGACGCGTCAACTCTCCGTATAAATGAGACCCACATCGATCTGTACGGGATGAGTACTGACGTGTTCAATCGTCAATCGTCTTTCTAGCAGATCCGGAGTTTTTTAACACGAGTCTGTGCATCGCACGCGTCTATTTTAGTTTGAAAACCACGGCAAAGTACACTTCGAGGAACAAAAATGGCGGCAACCAGTGACGAACAGATGGAATCTCTGCTCTCTGGTTTCGATCAAATATACGAGGTGAGGTCTAGTTTTGGGTTTATAACGATTCCTCGCGTCATTCGGATGAACGTTCAGTGACTGTTTTCAAGTACAGTTTATTTAATGGTGTGATATGGTTTCGTTCTCGAATGGTGGTTGCAGGACTTCAAAGCTGGTTTAACAGAGATCCAATCGCTGAAATCGAACTTTACTGCCGAAGTTAAGAGGCGAGAAGCTCTTGAAATCACTTGCAACAGTCTGAAACTAGGTTTGTCGTCGTTTGTCTGCCAGATACATGTTTTAATTACAGTAACTGTCACTTGTAGATCCATGATTTTCGAAAAGTTATGTATCTCGAATGGTTGAAAGTTGAAACTTTAGAAGATCTCTGTTTGATTCGTTTCTGTTGTAGAATTGATTTCTTTTTTGAGCGATTTTTCCCCATCTCCAAGTGAATTATTGATTGTTTATGTTCTATCAATTATACCCTCCATATCTCTTGATTTGAAGGCTTTTATATTTCTTGTCTTCTTTTCTGTAAAATCACATCCTATATTGTTTTCTAAAGAGAACCTCATAAGATCTTATGTTTGAAGCAATTTATTATATCTGCAGATAATGAGCGTTTGACAAAGATGTATACCGAGTCCTTAAGCAAAGTAGCCGATCAGGTATGAGTTTTTGATCTTGCTTCATAAAAATAATAATTATTTTCTACCATGTCTGTCACGTTCAAGAGAAGGATTTAATCTTTAAAGAACTCCCTGTAGGACCCAGTATAGTCTAAATTGATCTATTCCTTGAGTTAAAACAGCTTGAACACCGTTCCAAGTGTCAAAGCTTGAAGAAGGAGCTGAAGAAACTGAATGATGAATATCTCAGCAAAGAAGATGTAAGTAGCTTCTGTCAGTACTCTGCAAAGAGGGAAAACAAATGTAATGCTTCATATTGTAGTGTTGCATAAAAATAATGTCTATTTCTTTTAGCCTCCCTGCTGCAATGTCCGGGGGGCCTAGACTATTCCACCAGTTGTTCCTATTAGAAGATCCTAGGTGAAGAACTCAGAGCAGTTGAGCGTCAACAGCATGAAAGTTCATTGTAAATTACCTAGGTTCATCTTATGGAATAATTAGGATGACATAGCATCAAGCTGAAAATTGCAACAGGAACATCAGAGGGCAATGCAATTTCTTAAACAAGAGCATGCTGCAAAGTATGGAGATCTAGAGAGTCAGATAAGGTAAGTGAATTTCTATCATAAAATTTCACTAAATCTATATTTTGCTTTCCTTCAAGATTGGACTTTACTCCTTGTTAGATGTTTTCTGCAACAACAAGCGGAAAATGAAGCAATGATCAAACACCTCCAGAGAGACTTAACTGCACATAAGACCCATATACAAACCCTAACCAACAAGCTGGAACAGGTTCAATCTGATATGGAATTGAAATGTAAATTTTAAAAGGATTATTTAGAACCTTCATTTTATTTATTTATTTATTTATTTATTTTTGCCAGTTTTTATAAACTGGAGGACATGGATAGAACTGCTGATATTTTTTTACTTCTATTCTTTTCTTCTTTATGAAAGATCATAACGAGATTCAGGATTTGAAAGACTGGGCCCTGGTTGAACAGGAAGAGAAAAATGATCTGAATAAGAAGCTCCAAAATGCAGAAAAGGAATGTAAGTATAACCATTTTGTTCCATAGCATTATACAAGCAGTGTTGCACAGACTCTCCCAAATGAAATGAATGAAGTGCGGTGTCAGACACGAGTACTCCGACATTCCATGAGGAGATATTCCCGATGCAAGACTATAATGGTTGTTCGACTTTGCATCGACTAAATCTGATTTCTTTTGTTTCTGTCATTGCTTATTTCTCATAATGTACACATCAAACGTCACTTTTCCTACAAAAGGGCTGAGCTGCTTTGAAGTGGTCTGGATAGGCCAAAATAGACAACCCTTCAAATGACAAAGCCGATTGGGGCTCTCAAGTGAGACCCACCTCAAAAGATAGAAGCCACTGTTTTTCAGCCACCCCAAATAGGCATCAAGTAGTAAAATTTAGAAACTTTATCCATAGGTTTATAATGTTAAAATTCAACAAAATATATTACATTCTAGATTTTAATAGCTTGCAATTGTTTGTAGTCATGTACATATGTCCTTGTGAGAAAAATGTCAGAATCTGATTCCCATGTCCATTAGTGCAACAGGCGACTTATGTACCTGATTTTTTAACCCACATATCAATCAGAAATGCCCATAAAAGACCTGTCGGTTTTCTTGTTCATAATGTAGACTGTTTTGGAACTTAACCCAACCTAGTTTGTATTAGCCAATTGTATCTCAAAGGCCAAAGTTAAACAACTTAAGACTTGCCTATGGACTTTCCCTTCCTAGAAGAGAGATAGAAATGTTAATTGGTTTTCTCTTTTTGGTGTAATATAAATAATTTCATGGCACGATGCAGTGATTATTAGCAGAGCAAAGCTGGTAGAAAAGCATCAAGACTCAACTTTGAACCATCATATCGAAACACTGAAGCAAAAAGTTATGAAACTAAGGAAGGAGAATGAGGTCTTAAAAAGGAAATTACTTGTCTCTGAAGAGGGTTAATGGGTTTCCATTTCAATGTCTTGCTTGTAGGCCGGGTGACTTCTAGCCTAGCAGTATCCCAAGATCTGAGGTCATGTGATTTTGTTTTTTCATTAGTTAACTGAAAATTTTCATTGTCATCTTGTAAGCTTTGACCTGAGATAAATGAATCAGAATCTCTTCAAGCTTAAGGGGATGTTCTCAATGTAAATGGCTTTTTTTTTTCAAAAAGAACTAAAGAAGTTAAGAAGTTCTGGGAAAATACAAGCATACTATTCTATCAGAATCTTCTATGTTATGTCATGGGAAATTCAACCATCTCAACTATCATTTCTTCTGAAGTACATGACTTACTGTAGCAGTGAAAATTTTGCAAAAGACAGCATATCCATGGAAGCTCAGAGTGCACAAATATTAAGGCACCTTCAGAAAATCAGCAGTTTCCAAATATCCCACTTGGATCTTTAATTTTTAATTCCTGAAGACTTTTGAAGATCAACAACCTTTCATGAATTACAAATGCTGATGATATCCATACTGTACTATGAATATATCTCAACACCGTTAAGGATCAATTAATAAGTAATTAAATGCAAAATAAATAATCAGTAACTAGAAACTTTGTTCTAAAAAATAAAGCAAAGCATGAAATTTTAAAAAATTATAATTGCAATTTGTAATAATAAAACCTTCACATTCAAATATAAAACCTACGATCATTCCTTTTATCTACCAAAAAACCTCCTATATGTTATTCTTTTAGTAAAAGTTAGGTCAACAAGGTGTCATGTATGGGCAATGAATAGGAAGTTGGGTTGATCAGGACCAAGGCCAGGCTTGATCCTATGATAAGGGCTATAGGTCGGGCACAAGCCTATACGATAAGTCTGGATTGGGCTTGTAGGCCTATAGATATATTACAATATAGGCCCAAGCCCGTACAAACCCCAAACGAGCCCAAGTTGTGTTAGGTTTCTGGCTTTTACTTTAGGTCCGAAGTTCATATCTTTACTGCCAAAGCATTTTCTATCGATAGGCCTGATGTTCATCTCTTATTGTCAAGGCATTGCTTTGGCTGTACAGGTTGTAAAGTCTCGAAAACCTGTCCCTACCCCAAAATCCTTCCTTTGAGCGAAAAATTCGAGTTCACATCTTTACCCCACAGCACATCCCCACTGTGTATTGGGGATATCTCCTGATGATGACATCATTGGTTCCCAATACACGGTGGGGATGTGCTGTGGGGCGTTGTGGGGCGGAGATGTGATCTTGAAAAATCCACCCCATAGGAGCGGGTGGGGGCAGGTACCTACCAGGCAGGGTAGAGATTGCCATCCCTAATGGTCAGGGTTTGGCTACACATGCAAAGCTATGGAATTGATTTACAAGGTGCCAACTAGCAGGTTGGTAAGGTCTCCTGCTAGTCGTAGTGGAGACTTTGGATCGAATACCCCACCTGCACCTGAATTGAGAGGGTTATGGGTTGGGGGATGGATTACCCTTGTTGTGTAGCCCTTCAAAAGAAATAAAAAAAAACGTGAAATTTTGAGTATATGGAAAGTCAGGGTGTCTCAAAAGCTTTGTGCTTTTACATGGAAATTTCTTTAAAGCAATGTTTTAAAAACTGCCACGGAACTAGAACCGTTCTGGCCACCAGTTTCCAGGTCAATGGTTCAACTGTCTGGTTTGAATGGACGGCCCATTCCAATTAAAAAATAAAAAAAATAATAAAATAAAAGGCCAAGACCCATTGAACAGGTTAAACGCATTGACAGTTCAATCACCTGGGTCAACGAGTCGCTGACCAATTCAATAATTTTTTATCAAAGACTGAGTTTGGAGTAAAACAGAACTGATTGCCTGGAAGGTTCTGGGCTGAATGGGCTAACCATACGAGTCAACGACAGTTCAAAAACATTGCTTCAAAGTTTGTGCAAAATGCTCTAACAATCAAAGCTTGTGCAAAACAAATATCTCCTAGGACTTTCGATGCTTCTATGTTGGGACTCGGGAGAGATTGAAACAATAGAACATGCCTTACTGTATTGTGATAATGTTCGATCTATGTAGTTAAAGAAGACTACGGTGTTGTATTTGTATGAATAAAGTTGAAGAAAGATTATGATTTTTCTTTTTTCTTTATCGGAATTCTGGTTTTATTTTGTCAAAGGTATATGCAACCTTGACAAGTGTCAAGTTAATTGGGTAGGAATGTTCAAGTCAGTGCAATTCAGCTGGAAACTGATTGCTTCAATCTACCTTACTTTTTTAAGAACACTGCGAATGTCCATATGGAATGTATTTGATGATTTGAGATGAGACTTGCTTTTATCTTTTCTGCAGTGTTTGCACCGTTCGTGTCAATTGGTCGGGTTAAGTGATAAGCTCACATGGGGACAACCTATAGGGTTAGGTCTAGGTCAGCCCTAATCATGTTTTGGGTTGGGTTCATGTTGAGTTTATGCTAAATTCAATTTGTTGACATTGAAGCATTGGAATATTCGTATATATGAGCTTGTTTTTGAGTATTAGTAAGTGTATACATGTTTTGTACATGGCAATTCTAGATAATGATAATGATAGCAATAATGTATTTAAAATTTTCTACAAAATTCATATATTTTTTATATTTTTTGTTTTTCATTATTAATTGAATGCAGATTGCAAAATCTGAATCTGATTATGTAAACACCTTATATTGGATTGCAAAGTTTTATGTATCATTTTAAACCTCACAATTAAATAAGAATTAAATTCAAAAAATGAGTATTTTACTCAAAAGAAAGTTATAGTTATTCATATTTTTAATAATAGTGTAAATATAGAATTATATATGTGTTCATTTTTTTTTATTTCCGTGTGTAAAGATAATTCTGTTATGTATACTTATTTTTTGTTTAATATGATAAATATATGATATTATACATGTGCCCAAATGTTTTTTTGTAAAATTTATGTATTTTTTCCTTTTTTGTGTTTTTATATTTTATTAATTTTTATTATTTAATAACGACACTAAAGGTTGACATATTTAACCCAAGAGTTGAACTATTGGTCTCCACGAAATAGGAAAATAATTTCATTTTTGTTAGTTTTAGATTATGTATTTCATTTTTATCATCAATAAAAATAATTCTTGTTTATTACACTTATTTTTTTAATTTGATTAATAAAAATATCATAAATATGTCTATTTTTTCTATATTTTTGTAATTTTCTATATTTATTTAATTTAAAAATGCTATTATCTAACTATGACTTGACGAGTTAACCAATTTAATACAAATGATTGAATTGCTTAGTCATCACTTGGATAAAGAATGGTTTTGTTTTTAAGTAGGTTTTAAAATATATGGGATTGCATTGTTAAGATTATTGGACATATATCTAATTAGTAGCATTTATTAGTGAAAAATTAACTTGAATATAAGATTTAATAAGAGAAAATGAGAGTTAATACCTTAAATATAAGACTTAATGAAAATGAATTAAATGAGATGGAAATCATTAATTGAAACTATATTTTCAACTTTCATAATTAGATATGGACTAAATACACAAATATGGGAATTTTAGTCAAGAAAAATTCCACACCCTCATTTATACTATAGAGTTCGGATCCTCTATCCCCTAGGGAGAAAATTTTATGTCCCATCCAATACATTTCGAACATGCATAGATCTTTCTACATTTGAAATTAACAGAGTCCAAACCTTTAATGGTAGTCAGGACTCCAAAAAGTGATGGAATGCATTTGAAATTTTGACAACCCGCCCAATCAAGCCTTTCATTCCTTCCTCTATCTCGAATTTGCCTTTCTCCCTCTTCTTTTTCTTCCTCCTCTCTCACATCTGGTTCCACCAGTGCCACTGACTGTCAAAGACTGTTGCTACCAACTGTTGGAGATCATGTTCAACTGCTCAATCCTCTCTCTCTCTCTCTCTCTCTGAATTACAAATTTTCAGGTTCTCAGAGGTGGCTGATCTCTTAGATAGTTGCTAGCTCGAAATCCATGGCAAGATACAAACAAGATTGCTGTCCCCAAGAATAGTCTACGAAACATACCTTGTATTGAAATTGGCGAAGAGCAGAAAAGGCCTCAACTTTCTCCAGAGTTTGTATCTGGATGCCTAATTGCCTCACCAACTATATACTGGAGTGGTTTTCAACCATGTACATAGCCGTAGGTTCACCTTGCAACCACCCATATTGTTGCCATCCATGTTACTAGGTCAACAAGAGGCACATCATTACCTTAGGAGGAGAAGATGGATGGGTGGAAATAGAGATGGATGAATTATTTAACGACATATAAAGGAGAAGATGGGGAAGTGGATATGACTATCATGGTGGTCACTGTATGTCTGGTCTTATTATCCAAGGAAAAGAGATTAGGCCTTAATAAAGTAAATAAATAATATAGGCTTTTCTTTTGCTCTACTCTATATATACCATATACCTTTTCATTTCAATGAATGTTACACATGGGAATTGAACAAGTATGTTTTGACAAAACCAATGTAAAATTCAGCTATATCATCTGTGCTTGTCATCCTTGTTCTTGATCCATTTGTGTTCTATGGATTCAAAAATTTCATCAAAGATGGAACAAATTGGATTGCAAGCCTGAAGTCCATTAAATTATTGTTGGTCAGCTTCACATCATTATACTAGAATTAAATAACATTGGCAATGTTTGATTAAAAAGATCGGTGTGGTTGTTTACTGATTGCTAATCGTCATTTAAAATCCCATATTTACAATATTACACTTCAGACTGCTGCAGGGGCGAAATAAGAATCACCAGAGTTGTAGAGGTGAGGTAGGGTTATGGAGTTGATTGGAATACAGCATCGACAAGGGTTGCAGCGGCAAGAAGGGTTCCTGAAGTAGCCGGAGTACAGCACCGGAAAGGGTTGCGATTTGCGTGGCGACGCAGTGTGTTGGTGGAGAGAGAGAGAGAGACTTGTAGTGGCTCAGATGGAATGAAAAGAATTCGCGGCGGCGGTGAAGGGAGAAGAAGATAACTCTCATGGTAGGATTTGGGAATGATGGAATGAAAAGTGAGAAGATCCGAAAGATTAAACAAATTTGATTAAGAATGAAGTCCAAACCACCATTAGCATCCATTTTCCGTTAGTTTCAAATTGAGTGGGTGAAGATGACGTGTTTGAAATGTATTGGACGGGACGATCCAAACTCCTTTTTATAATAGTATAGATATAGATAGATGTATTGTATATGGGACGGGT